TGCTGTCACCACAGCTCGTATAAATGCACCGAAGTGCCGCATAGAATTGCACCGAAGTGCCATATAAAAAGTCCCTAAGGACCACGTAGAAAATTCCTTAAGAATCATATACATATACTAAGGATCAAATATGTGTCTCAAAAGACCTCATACATGTTCCAAAGAATACATATATGTCCCGAAGGATCGCATAGACCCTCGACTCTTGACATGCCAACTATACCTCTAGCTCTCATGACATATAACATGGGCATTAATATTTATGGTATTACACATTCACATATACACATAGTTTCATTATTACATTTTTATAAGATCACACGTAGTCAAGTAGTTCATTTCCATATAAATCACACATACACATAGATCACTTGCACGTAGAACATCTTCATAAAACTCACATATCACATAGCTTATAACTTGTTCTTATATCTTCTCATAACATATTCCCTTATAGCTTTCTGTCATATCATTCTCGACACTTAATATCACCTAGTTCATAGTCATGTGGCTTATCTTATATACCTATATTCACATACCTTATAATTACAGAGTTTACTCCATTTCACACATAATCACGTAATTTACTTATACATAGATCATTTCCATACCTAAATCATATAACACATAATTCTTCCTCATAAAGTTATACTATATATTCATATAATCTCATATTATCCTATAAGTAAATATTTATCTCATCTCATTTTTTCCATTTATTCTCATAATTATTTATACCATAACATAATTTATATCACATATCTATTATTATTTGTATAATAAGTTAATCTATTTATTTAGTTAAATTTTACATAACTCCTATACCATAGTTTTCTTTAAGTATACTTCTTCTCTATAACACTTATCTTATAGTTTGGTATCATCATTTATACTCAATTCCCTTCACTAATATATTATTCTCATATTACTCTATAGTCTAATCTTATTTAACTCATCACCCTTCTCATGTAGTCATATAAATCTATTATATTGATTCTTATAATTGATCACATATACTATGTAACATGTATGATCACCTATCATATAACCTATTTCACATTCCCATATAATCATATAGATCATTCATATTAATTCCTATAACTTATCACAACACATGTATTCACACAAATCATTTAATACATATTGTAATATATATCACATATACCCAAATCAAACATATGCATATGATCATAAATTCATGCATTCAAATATAGGAAATAGACTCGTCGCAAGTCTTATTTCCATTAAACATCATAAACTATCTTGTATGCACTCACCTTGGCCTCACTATGTTCCAATCCACTTTTATGATTTCCTCTCTTTCGATTGAATCTTAACTTGATAATCGTTCCGGAACTTGTTCATGCTCGATATCTATATAATCATACATTGATACATATCAGTATCCAATTGATGTATTCTAATCTATCATTTCTTAGACCAAAAGAAAGGTATAATTCTATTTTCCCCTTGAAGTGCATCGGTACATTCTATAGTGTATCGATGCATCCCCTAACATGTGCATCGATGCACTACCCCATGCATCGATACACAATTTACATTCGATGTTTCCATTTTAAGGGGTGTATCGATGCACTACCTATGCATCGATGCACTCATTGCATTTGATATTTCTTCTTTAAAGAGTGCATTAGTACACATTGAATGTGCATCGATACACTTTGCCCAGAATTTGTATTTTACGCCCGAAAATCATCAACTCTTCATTCAATTCTTCTATTTAAGCCCCTATCATGTCATTAAACTCAACTACCATTACTTAAACCAACTTGTATTTATATAAACCATCTCTATCTTCCATATCTCATCATGATTCTTAAAATTAAGAATCTTACTAAACTTTCAACTTTGTTATTAATCCTTTCTAACTTCATAAATCTCTTATTCTTAGTGATGACAAATCAAATTCCTTCTCAAATTTCACTTATTAACTCTTTTCCAGAAATTCATCTAAAAACTCATTTTCTTTAATCTCTTCTATATCTTTCATCTTGTTGTTTTAGAACAAATTAAACTTTCCTTAAACTTAATTATCATCTAATGATCATAACTCAACCTTAAAATCAACAATTAATCAACAAACAAAGAAACTCACCTTTGAGCTTGGAGATACGGGAGGAGGAAGAAGAAGAAAGAAAACTCTGGAGAATTCTCTCCTTTCCCACGTGGTTTCCTTTTCTTATAAAAGGAATATAAAAAAATTTCCTTGTCAAATGACCATTTTGCCCTTTAATTCCTTTAATAATTACTAACAACTTTTAGGAAATATTTCCAGATAAATTATTGAACTATTCAATTATTCTACTTTAATCACCAAATTCCGAAATATTTCAATTTGGTCACTAACCCGGTATTGAGGATGTTACAGGGTGCAAGGGATTGAAGATCCATCTTGTCCGTTTTGCGGGTTGGTTCAGGAAACTGTTTTTTATTTGTTTTTATCGTGTAAAGTGTCATGGGGTTTACGGGTGAGTTTTTTGCGGCTTTGGAAGTTTTCTTTTGCTATTCTTGAGTGACCTGCAGCATTGATTTTCGTTTGGTTTGACCTTGTGTCTCGATCAATCTTTCGGGGTTCATCCCAGGAGCCGTTTTGTGATTTGAAAGATGAGGAATGAGATCGTTTTTAAAGAAGCTGGATTTTGTCCTGTTATCTTTTCTCACGAGGTATAGAGTGGCAGCATGGTTTACTTCAAAATTTCCAAAAGTGTTGATTTATTTTGATAGCCTAGTGGGGGATCCTTCATTAGCTGATTGTGTTTCGAGTCCTGGAAGGATCCCTTCAAATTTTGTGAGTTGGTCTCTGCCTCTAACCGTTTTTTTAAAGTGAACGTGGATGGTGCTATGGATAGAATGTGGTTGAAAGGTGGCTTCGTTGGGCTGCTCAGAGACGAGAAAGGTGTGGTGTTGGGATCGTTCTCAGAGAGAGTTGGTTCTGGCCCTACAATTATGGCAGAATTGATGGCAATTATGAGAGGGCTGAGGCTTTTCTTGGAGTCGGGGAAATCGGTGAATCAAAGGCTTATTTTAGAATCTTGTAGTGTTGTGGCTGTGGATTGGATCAAGAATCTTGCTGCCACCACCCCGTTGTTCTTGTCCATAGTTAAAGATATCACCTCGATTATGGTTGATAAAGGTGTTATTGTTAGGCATGTGTTAAGAGTAGCTAACTGGGAAGCGGATGAATTTGCTAAGCTAGGGATAGGCTAATTGGTTGGGATATATTTGTTTCATTGAGTTTGTTGTATTTGGGGAAGTTTTGGTTATATTTGTCAATTGTGTTATGCTTGCATTTGGTTGATTGTTTTTAGGATATAGTTTTCTTGAGTTGGGTTTGGTCATTGCTGTGTTTCTGTAGTTTAATGTTGATCATTGTTGAGGTGATAGTCAGGTTGTGTTTGGTGGTATTGTACTCTTCTTGTACTTGGTATCTATGCAATAAAATTTTGAGGCACTCTTTTCCTCCTTCCAATGTCCGTTGAGCCACTCTTGTTGTTTGACGGTTATGAAGGGGGTTTTTAACGAGACTTCCCTTTTTATCAAAAAAGAAGTTTCTAGAAAAGTTAATTCAAGACAACGAATTTAATACTATAAAGTATAATTATAAACATGTCATATTCAAGCCAGAGGAACCGGCTTCAATAGAATGAAACATAAAATCAGCTAAATATTACATGTCAAAGCAGTAACAAAAGGAAATGAAAACACATTATAGAAAGCAAGTAGTGAGTTTCCACTGTTCTCAACCTTCAAAAAGAAAGAAAAGAAGGGAAAAAAGGAACAAGTTATTCATGAAAGATCTATAAGGTCAATTAGATGTCTTCTCACCTAAAACTGTGGTCATGTGTTTCTGACCGTGTGTTTGGAATTGATAGTTCAGCTCATTAAAGGGAAACTGAAACCTTTTGATTCATAAAGGGAGCTGAAATCTTAGTACTCGTTAAAGAAAGACGTTACGTAAATTGGAAAACTACTTTATAAAGAAAATAAATAAACAGATTTAAAAGTACAATCAAGAATCCTAAGGAAAAATAAAATAAAATTGCAATCTTACCCTTAATTAGAGAATCTAAATAAATGACCTTTCCTATAGAGATTCAGCCCATAACATTACTCCCCTCCTGTAGAAAAAGCTTGTCCTCAAGCTCGTAGACTAGTAGTTAGGATAAACTTAGCGAAAGACCCCTTCCATTATTAACGGTCGAAACCGGTAAGGGCAGTGACCTCCACAAACATATTTTCAATTTTCAGCACCACTGAATAAATCTCTTTAAACTTTGTACCAACATTCAAAATTTTCAAAAATACAGCAACATGTTTAGACTTGTCAAACTTCTACAATATAGAGTAGAAGGTTTCTTGGATTGGGTTTAAAAAAAAGGATGGGTAGTGGTATACGAGTTTAGGAAGGGTTAATGAATAAGACGAGCAAATGAAGTTGGTTGTGATTGCCATGTTTTTTGTCGAGATGAGTTCAGAACGGTTTGATGCATAGGATAAGAAAGAGTCAAAGAGAGATCCATAGAGGCTTCCATTGTTTGAGTTTGTTCAGTTGAAGGGTCTACTTTCACATCAACCATAGAATTACTAACATATTTACCAACAGTTATTTTATCCATTACTTCACGCATTTGATCAAACATTTGGGTTTTGGTTTCAGCAGTACTTTCATCAATATTCGACAACGTACAATCTAATATATGCTTTATCTTTGTCTGCGTATGCTCAAGCTTCTTGTGTATTTCTGCTCGCCATTTTGCCTACCTTTGTTCTACCATTAATGATAATCATTGGCTCTAAATACCAAACTGATATGACCGTGTGTTTGGACTTGATAGTTCAGCTCATTAAAGGGAGACTAAAACCTCAGCTATCTTTAAAGAGAAACCTAGAACTCCTTAGGGTTTTTGATAGAAATTCTGCTCAGGTTTTATTATTCCACATGTACCTTTACCTTTAAACAAGGCCAATCTAAATATATAGATTGGAAAACTATTATAGAAAGGAAATAAATCAACTGAAACAAGAGTTCAATCAAGAAACATAAGGAAAGAAATAAAATCGCAATCTAAGCTTTCATTAGAGAATTAAAATATATGACCTTTCCACTACAGATTCAGTCCATAACATCATGTTACCAGGTTTTTTTTTTTTGTGGCAAGAATTTTTGTTTATAATAATTTAAGAACCAAATCATATACTAGAGAAAAAAAATTGTTTGGATAAAAATTGACATCTCGCTAATCAGTAGAAATTTTATTAGCACTGTCTACTATACAGTCTCACTAACTCATCATAAGGTCGCGAAAAACTTATTTACCTTGAAGATCTCCATCAAATCAGCAGGCTTCTTTTTAAAAATACCAGTCTCATAAGATCTCAGCCTCTCCATTGTCTGAAAAGTAGCCACAAATTTAACATCAATTTCTTGTTTAAAAAAGCATCAAATACACAAAATGGCAAAATAAATGTGATCATAAATCAGCAATTTGTTGCCATTTCCATAGAACAAGATAATTTACATTAGCAAGAATGCAAGTTATAGCATGAAGGAAGACATGACAAGATAATTTGTTGTCAATTGTCCCAACAGCAAGATAATTTATAGACGCGAGCAAGACAAGTTACAACATGAAAGGAAGACATGTCAAGTAACTAAAACCACAATGCTTCCTTATCAGCATATATTACCCTAAGAAAATCCATACTACCAGCATGGTCCTGGACAGAGCAATAGTGTTAATATCTTCGACAATAATTTATATAGAAATGAAAAGGCCACCTTACCAATACCAGCTGTGTCTCAAGGAACTGGAGAACTGAACAATGTAATAAAGACAAAATTGAATAGATTGTTTAACCCATATCAATGAATTGTTTTTTTTTTTTGATAAATAGGAATGCCTCATTAAAACCCCCCTTCATATCCGTCAAGCAACAAGAGTGTCTCAACGGACATTGGAAGGAGGAAAAGAGTGCCTTAAAATTTTATTGCATAAATACCAAGTACAAGAGTACAATACCACCAAACCCATTAACAACCATCTCAACAATGAGCTACAATACACTACCTAAACACAGCAGTGACCATACCCTACTCAAAAACTATCTCCTAAAAACATTCGACCAAATGCAAACATAACACAATTACCAAAAATGCCAACAAACCACAATACAATAAACTCAATGCAACAAATAAATCCCATCCAATTAGCCTATCCCAGCTTAGCAAATTCATCCGCTTCCCAGTTAACTGCTCTCAACACATGCCGAACAATGACACCTTTGTCAACCACAATCGAGGGGATATCTTTAACTATGGACATGAACAACGGGTTGGTGGCAGCAAGATTCTTTATCCAATCCACTGCTACAGCACTATCGGATTCCAAAATAAGCCTTCAATTCACCGACAACCCCGACTCCAAAAAAAAAAGCATCAACCCTCTCTTCATTGCCAACAATTCTGCCATTATAGGAGGGCCAGAACCAACTCTTTCTGAGAACGATCCCAAAACCACAAATTTATAATATATAAAAAATTCAGCACAGATTATATGTTTATAACAACAAATTTACTTGGCACTTTTATAGAACAGTAGTCATCATATCTATACTGAAAAATGATTTAAAGCACTTTAAATGCAAAATCACACTTAGCTATAACAGTCGAAAATCGAAATAAGAAAAATCGTAAAGGGGTAAATAAGACAATAGTAATTCAAACTTGCACACACACAAAAAAAAACTGAAGCATTCAAAGCAACAAAAAGTAAAAGTATCACCTCTTCATCCGCCTGCAAAAAGGTTCTAAGATCTTCACTCTGTTGGAGCAAATAGTAAAATTTCACTCTGTCCAAACAGTAAAATTTCCCCCCAAAAAATACAATTTTTTTACCAAAACTCAAAAATTAAAAATAAATAAAAGGAATATAAAGTCATTTTGATTGAGTAGTAATGGTTACCTTGGTGATGACACGATAGGATATGTAAGCTTGGACGCCATTCCCTAATTTAACGGGATCCGTCACGGAAACTGACAGATATGGCTGAGACGATGGAGATCTAGGGCTCTGCGACTACCCCGATACGCTTCTTTGCTGCTCCATTCTTCAGGAAAAAAAAACAATTAATTAGAAAAATAATATTTCCGAATGAAAAAGACAAGTAAATAGTGGTAGAGTTGTAATTATCGTAGGAATCATAGTTTGTTACGAATTGTGGAATCCGGATGAAGTTCATTTTTACTTGTTTGACGAGAGGAGTCGATTGCATTTTTTTAAGGTGATTTTTGGATAAATATATATTTATTAGAAAAACAAGTGCATCCTTGAATAAATGGAATGGTAAAATATAAATTTGTTAGCTGAATTTCACAATTTTTTTCATTTTTTTTCATTTTAAATTTTTTTTAATTTCTTCACTAAACTTAATATGTTGAGTTTGCGTTATCATTAAGTCGTTTTCCCGTTATGACGTGATTTTTTACCAAAAACTTAAATGCATAAAATTCAGTGATTAAATTAAAAAAACCCTAAAAATATAGTAAATAAAATATGAGAGATAGTAAAGTTTAGTGAAAAACGGTTGAATGACAAAAAAAAACTTAATTTACTAAGTATAGTGAGTAAATTGAAAAAATTTAAAATACAATAATAGAATAGAAGAGAGTAAAATTCAATTATCAAATTTGTAATTCACCTTAGAAAATATATTTATTTTATTATAAATATTTCCAGATTCAATTTTGTACGTAACTTTCTTTTGTCGATTACATATTTTATTTTTTTATTCAATTTAATATCTAAATTTATTTCCTTTTATTTATATCAATTCTTACCCTAAATGACTTATTTTCATCATTTAAAATAAAAAAGTTAAATTCAAGTACCTAACTAAATACCAAATTAAATTTTAAATTTTAAGTTCAAAAGATAAATATCAAATTCAGAGCAACAAATTTACTGGGATGATGGTTTAGAAAAATCGAATGGCTCATATGATTATGAAGTATACAAAAAAATTTGAGATAATATGAACGCTACAATATCGATAGGAAGTCGCTCGAATCATTTGACAAAATATTCTCAATGTCAATACGTAATAGTTTAGTAAATAACTATATGTGTTTTAATTTAATGATATGACCACATTAAGAAATTAATTAATATTTCACCATTTATAGAAATGACTAAAATATAAATCAGAAGCCCATGTAAAACGGCTCAAGAAACTCCGTTGTAATGTGAAAACGAGGAAGACATGTCACAATACAAGGAGAAACAAGTGACGTAAGCTAACAGTTGCGTCAAAGGTATTACATCAGTTAAGATTTTACAAAAAGGAAAGAGTTTTCGTTTCATTTCTTTACCAAATAGAGGGATTAGATCTCCCGTGATAATATCAGGAAGGGCATTGATCACCAGTCATCTTCCAGGCTAGCACGGTGAAAACACAAGACGGTGCAGACGAATATGATGAATGATGTAAATTCGATGAACATTGCACCAGTTGAAATCATATGAGCATGCCTAAGAATAATGGGAATTGCAAAGCTTCCGACAGCAGAAGCCCCTGTCAAAAATTTGGCAGCATCTACCCAACTGCAATGAAGTGAACAACTACCAAAAGTTGAGAAGCTACTTTTACCAGGAGCATTCCCGAAGCAACCAGCGATTTTTACACTAATTAAACATTCAGGGAAAACAATAGAAGAAAACAGTTTTAAAAGCTTATATTTCTACTCACCCCCCACCATCTCGGCTTGTTAGAAACTGAGTCGATCCACCTCCAAAGAATAAACAAGGCATTGGCACCAGGACATACATAAGAGCTGTGAATAGTTGTAGAGTTGCGCCATCAATCATTTAAAGGTAACCAGACCAATTTATTAGTGGTATGATCATCTTGTAATAGACCACTCACCTGAAAGCATTGGCCACCAGTTGTTGTATAATGCACAAGCCTGAAGCAAAATTTAATTAACTTGGTCATTAACAATTTGACATTAATGATAGATTATTGGGAGCTGAAGTACTCAAAATTTAAGTGAATTTAGAAGAATGCAATCCACAAACAAGTACTTTAAGCTCTTAAAACGGTTGGATCGTTGGTGGATACATGAAACTTCTTCATCGTAAACTCAATTTTATATGGACAAATCAGAACAGAAAATTAATATATAGCAAATCCTTTATTAACAGGTGGAAAAAAACAACCGTCTCCAACCAAACCCCTTCAGGAAATGCTTGCTTTTCCTTTTGCCTACCTGAGGCCGAACTAGTAGAGATAGCCAAAAGCAAATCATCTCTTCTATAACAGCAATTAGAGGAAGAGTGGCAGGAGTGCCAGTTAAATCAAGTATTAGTCAGTCAATGCTCTCAAAGCACATCAAATCCAAGGAACAATAAAGCTCATCTTGAAGAAATTGTGACTTTTAGCAAGTATCATTAAACCCTTCCAAATGAAGGTAATGTAACACGTACTATGCGTTCCACAAAGCACCAAAGACATGTTAGCCAGTACGACTCTATTTAATAGGCGACCACATCTCTTTTTAATAAATGTATTTTCAACCATGAGAGAGTTCACTTACATTCTAATCAAGCAGTGCCATATTGACATATATTTATATCAGATGTTTCTGAGGATGAAGTTGCTATATGTGTGGCCTAGAAGCGAGCAACATAGTTTCACAAGTAAACCCCATTCTACATCAGGTGAAATACTCCCACAAGGTCCATAAATTCCATCTTGGAACAAAAGAAGACAGCACGATTGTACAAGCCTTCGAAAAATTCAGCATTTCACTCAAATAGTCGATAGCATCACTAAAGACAAGCGTAAGACCATTGAGCTTACTTGATAGCTGGACAAGATGGTGTCAGCACATATGTTCAGTTTACTTGATCTCATGGCGCTACCTTAACCCCTAAACTAATTCAACCTCAGACAGTTGTCACAGATCAGGAACTTGAATAAACCCCTTACAGATAACCTACAAGATTTATTTAGACAGCCTAATACAGTTTCATTAATCCAATAACCCTTCCTTTATTCATAAGAGTTAACAATTACAATGCTATCCAGAAGCTGACTTTGCCCCAAATTTGTTGCCAATTCACTCTGGAGCAGCCTCAAAAACATCTTTACTAAAGAAAAAATCCTTTCAGAAACAAGACATGACCACTCATCAATACTAGCATATTAAATCCATTAACACAAGATAATTCACATTCCATTGTCTCAAGATACAAAGACACTAACAGGATATGCGTGGATATCATCTGAATGATGTAATATCACGATTTGAAAAGCACGGATAAGTTATGCCAATCAAATCTTCATACACAAATATAAATAGAGCACACATCACCTACAAATACTACAATGCAATTAAAAAAATCACATCATGAATTGTGTAAGGTCCAACAAAGAATAATGTGAGCAATGCTTCGGAACCTACATAATTTTGTGTTGAGCTCCATAAAAAGAATTACAGGACAAACATTTTGCTAACTACATATCCAAACACCGGCACTGCTTCCATCTCAAGGAAAACATGAAACATTCTAACTTGTAAACCATAAATTACACATTCTCATTATTCAGATAATACGCTGAATCAGATTATAAAAACATACCAGAACTTGTAACAGGATACTAGATGAAAACATAAAAGCAAGTCCAGCAAGCCTGCATATTCCGGAAAATAAATAGAAAAAGTTAATTCTATTTTGCTTATAACTTCATAAAAGCTGACAATTACCAACAAAGATTATAACTTACACTGCCGTTGCAAGAGTTGCCCAACAAGCCCAAAACACCAAATGAAGCACACAAAAAAAGAACAAAAAAATAAATTAGTCCCCCAGAAAAAACAATTCGTAAAAAAAAGATAAAAAAAACACGCAAGACCCATCTTTAAAGAAAGATCTTGGCCCAACAATTAATTTGGTTTCATAACCCTCTTTAACTAGAAGATCATAGTCAAACAAAGTTACACAGAGCATCATTCACCGATTTTTTAGGTTAAATTTTACAGTTTGTTGAAAAGAAAGAGACAGGCAAAAAAAACGAGGATGAATCGAAGAGCAAAGATTAAGGAATAATAGAGGAATATAATTATTACCTTCAATGGTCATCGCCATTTTTGGCAGAGGTAAAATTAGAGTCGTTGTCGATCGAAATTTCTCTCAACAAAATTGAGAAGGTGAGGAGGAAGATTAAAAAGAAAGCAAACAGATAATAATACCACGGAATTTTTCAAAAAGGGTTCGGTTTTTATTTAGGATTTTTCCGACAGTTTGTACGTCCCAGTTTATCTCCTTTTTCTAACTACACAGTTAGTCAACTAACTTTCCCACATTTTCATTTTGGTCACCGAAATGAAATATTGTATATTCACTTCCGTTAGATATTGTTTGCATTTTAGGCACTCACAATGGATTTTTTTTATTTTAGTCACTTATGTTAAATTTTATAAATTTTAGGGTAAAGTATAGTAATGGTCACTGAACTTTTCTAAAGCTTTCATTTAGGTCCCCCGGCTTTTAAACTTGCAATACAGTCCTTCAACATTTATTCCGTTTGTAATATGGTCCCCGCCGTTACACTGTCGTTAGTACGTTTATAATATGGTCACTGAACTTTTCAGGTGCTTGCATTTAGGTCCTCCAACTTTTAAAACTTGTAACACAATCCTCAATTTCATTCTAAACCTCAAATTCCTTTTCGATCTCGAATTTCCTTTTTCGCTCATCTCTTCTCATTTCCAACGTAACTTTTCAGTCAGGGATGCATGGGAAATTCTAATCTAACTTTGAATTATGTGGATGTGTTAACTTGAATAAGGGTTCATAGAGAGAACACCCGACCAAGGAACTATCGAGACCATCAACGATTCAAGGTGTAATGTTAGATACATGTCATCTCAAGTGAAGCATAGATGTTCGATGAAATGCTTGTGAAAAAATGGGGTTAGAAATGCAGAGTTGATAAATACTACTAAGATGAACTAAGTAACATTGTTGAATGTCACCAACAAAGCTGAAATTATTTTGTATAAATGACATACAATAATTTCTTTGTTTGATCCTTGTGGTTAAAGATTTTCTAGCAGATGATCAAATATAATGAAATCACAAACAACGCATTCATCTCTCAGTCTCCTTCGCTCACATGCACTCTCGTTTGGTTTTTGTTCTTCAATTTTCCGCCATGTAAAATTGTAAACTCAAACAGTGCTCTGTTTTTTCAACTTTTTATTTACAAAGAAAAAATGGAGGAAGAATTGCTTGAACGCAACACTGATTGCGTTTATTTCTTAGCCTCTCCCCTCACTTGCAAGAAGGTATTTATTTTCTCTTTTGGGCTATCCGGAAGTAAGCTTTTCCTCTTTCGCACTTTCATATTTTCAGCTCGCATTGTGTGTTTTTTGTTGAAATTTTTATGTTTTTGGAACTGTATGTCAATGATCTGAATATTCAGTGTAAGTTTTGAACCAAAACCATCTAATTTTCTTTCTTTCTTCTTAATCAAAACTTTTAGTACTCCTTATGAAAGATATTCAGTCCATCAGAATGGAAGTGAAAGAGGGTCCTAGGCTAAATTTTTTTGATCTTCTTGTTTTGTTTTTCTTTAAATCAGGGAATTGGTGGTGAGTATCGACATAGTGAAATCTCCAGGCTCAATCCGAGAGACTGCTGGTACTAGTTTACTGGGAATTGTATTAATCCGACCTATGGTTTTCGGCGTCCTGTGAGCTCTTATTCTTTTTAATAAGTTCATGTCGATTATGGGACTGATATATCCTGAACAAATTGGATTTTTTTACATGTTTTGGAAATTTTACATTTGAATTGTATTGAATTATAGCTTTAGAAGACAATTCTTCATGCATGCAACTCGAAAGGCATTATGACAGGGTTGTATATTTGGAGCAGCAACTTGACCCTGTCATGATGTCTTTCGAGTTGCAAAAGAGACTGAGGGTGAATGCGTTGTTTGGGATTTCATTATATTTGATCATCTGTTGGAAAATTTTTAACCACAAGGATTAAATGAAGAAATTATCATATGCCATTTATGCAAAATAATTCCAGCTTTGTTGGTGACTTTCAACAATGATACTTAGTTCATCTTAGTAGTATTTATCAACTCTGCATTTCTAACTCCATTTTTTCTCACAAGCATTTCATCGAACATTTATGTTTCACCTGAGATGACTTGTATCTAACATTACACCTTGAATTACACCTTTTCCCCTTAGATTTTATAGTAAATTATGATTTTAGTACCTAAACTATTAGTTTTGGTCCGTTTTAATACTTAAATTTTCAATTTTTTTAAAATCATACCTAACATTTAGTTTTTTTTTCATTTTAGTACCATGTCGTTAAAACTTAACGGACCTGTTACAACTTGACAACTTTATGGGTATATTAAATCATTCATTTCTTAACTATTTTCTCACTCCTATTTTGATCATTGAAGTTTAAATTTTTAATTTAATTGCTTAACTTTTAAATTACTCCTAACTTAATCACTCTAACTTTCAATTTTTTTTTATTTTAATTAAATATTAATAAAATAATAAAAATATCGTGCCATAAAAATATTATTAATAAAATAGACTAGAGTGATTGAAATATGAGCAATTTGAAAGTTGAGAATTTAAATTGAAAAATGTTAAACTTTAATGACCAAAATAGGAGTTAAAACTAATTAAGTGGTGAATGATGTAATTTACCCATGAAAAGTGTCATGTGCAAAATATTTTGTTAAATATTTAACGATGGGTACTAAAATGAAAAAAAAATTAAACGCTAGATATAATTTTGAAATAATTAAAATTTTAGATACTAAAATAGATCAAAATTGATAATTTAGATACTAAATATGTCATTTATCCTAGATTTTATTGTCAATTCAATCATTTCATGTTAAATTAGATTTAATAGGTTCATGCGTTGATTTTGTATCATAATAAATAATTAAAATATTTTCTCCGCCCAATAATATGATTTCCATGTCATTTGAAAATTTTATACTCACAAACTAATTCTTCTTCTTTTTGGAGCTGACTTAATCGCTAGTTTTCTTGGAAATGAATATTTTTTTTCTTTTTCTTAAGTTTTGTTGATCTTCATTACTAGCCTCACATTCCTTAAAGCTCTCCTTTTCAATCCTCCTCAATGTCTTTTTATCTTGGGTAAATTATAATTTTAATACTTAAATTATTACTTTTTATTCTATTTTAGTATCTGAATTTTATTTTTTTCAAAATCATACCTAACATTTAATTTATGTTTTATTTTAGTACTCGATGTTAAAAGCTTAATAGAACTATTGTACATGATATTTTTTATATATAAATTACACCATTCATCACTCAACTATTTTCTCACTCCTATTTTGATTACTAAAGTTTACTTTTTTTTAATTTAATCATTTAACTTTAAAATTACTCATATTTTAATCGCTCTAACTTATATTATTAACAATTTTTATGACGTGACATCTTTTAATTATTATTTTATTAATATATTCTTAAAATAAAAAATGGGTAGCATCGATGACAGTGGATGGTCGAAAAGAAAGGGAGAGATCGTGACGGTGGGGTGAGGGATTTGTGGTATACTTTTTTTTATTTTGGGTTTAATTTTAAATTTATTTTTTATAATTATATATTAAAAATAATAACAAATTTTTATGTCATAAAAATATTAATAAAATAAATTATAGTGATTAAAACATGAGTAATTTGAAAGTTGAATAGTTAAATTAAAAAAATTTAAACTTTAGTGACCAAAATAGGAGTGAGAAGGTAGTTGAGTGATGAATGATGTAATTTACCCATAAAAATATAACGTCCCAAAGTCTAGGTCGGTAATCGAGCTGGTTTCTGGATTTTCGGTAAAAATATTAATATTAGAAATTTTTATTGATAAATATTTTCTAAGATGATTTAAATAGTTTTGAATCATTAATTTCTATTTTTTGGGAATTTATAATTGATTTTTATAAAGTGATTAAATTGAATGAATTGAAAATTGTGATTTTAGCGACTAAATTGTAAAAAGATCACAAAACAAAATCTATGAAGCTAATTTTACCAAGGCGTGTGTTTAGTGTTTTTCCCTCCAAGTTTAATTGTATTTTAATCTCTTTTTTTGCTAATTTTCCATTTTGATTCATTCTCTTAATCTGTTCTCATTCTCATTTCTAATTTTCATTAACCATTACTTTCATTTTCTCTCATCCAAACACTATTGCATTGTCTCTCTAAAATTCTCTAAAAAAATCTCTCATGGTTGAAACTCTTTTTCTTCATTTTATATTCATTTGTTATTGATTCTTATTCATTTTATCTTGATTTTCTCTCTTCAATCAAGATTGTTTCATCTCATTTTTTTTGTCGTTTCTCCTTGTCTCTTTGGTGTTACCATTGTTGATCTTCTTCTTTCATTCTTTTCCAGCAAGGTAATTCCCTTTTCCTTGGTTCCTTTTGTGCTTCGATGATTAATGATCCAATGTGATTGATGATTTTAACTAAACAAATCTTTTAAAGAGAAGTTTGTGAATTAAAATTGGTTTTCGAAGGTATTTAATGTGCTATTTTTCTTAAACATTTTTCAAGGTTTTATTGTATTGATTTAGATGACTATGATGATGTTATAATCATATTAAATTAATTTTTCAATCTCATTTGATTTGGATAAGGAATTCTTTAAAACAATCTTAATTTTGGCCTTTTTTTAGAAATCTGGGAATTAGGATTAATTGTGGTTAATTTTGAGGTTTTAGTTGAGTTTAATTGTTGATATTAGTTGTTCTTGATCAACTCTTATTAGGGAGAAGTAGTGTTCATTGGATCGGAAGCTCAGAGAGTCATTTTGGTAAGATTTTCGATAATTTTGGTCTTTTCGTTCTACTTTAGAAAAAAAAATTTTGCTCTATTTTGGATGTGTTATTTTGCTTTTTAAGGTATTCTTTCCAAGGTGTTTGATGTGTTGATTATTGAGGACAATTTGTGCATTGTGTTTCGATGGACGTTTGATGAGTGTTTGAAAGCTAATTCGATTAGTGGACAGCTAAGGTGAGTGACTTTCATACGTTGTGGATGAACATGTTCAAGGGTAATATAAGGTGTAGTCTAGGATGTCCTCTTATCTTGAACTCTGGTATAGATGAATCTGTATTGATGCACATGATTAGAATAAAATCTAATATGAA